CGTAAAAATTGAGAGAGATAATATGGACTTTTGCCTTTTCAAAGATACTGTAAAAGTCATAGTTTATAGGAAACAAGCCCATGTGTACTGACAAGCCCAAGGTACCACTCTCTAGATGGGCTGCTAAATAGGCAACACAAAGCCCACTACGTAAAGCGTTTTTTGTTTTTGTCTTTCCACTCCCCGCCCTGAAACCACTCCAGTTCCCCAGGCTCCAACCACACGGCTCTCTATTCCCTTCCTCTGAAGACATGGGTCTCTGCAATAAGCAATTTGTCTATAATCTTGCTCTGTTCGGCAGGATTTATTACTGCTACGACTGATTTGTAGAGTTAATTTGTTGTGAGAGAAAAACATTGGTCCATGATTGAAAAAGTAAGGCTAATTTCGCTTATAAGTTCAAGCCAACGGAGCCACTGTCTCCGGAATACATGAGCACTATCCAATACTACCTCTTTCCAGATGAAACTTCCACTGGACAGGTTGACCATACACACGATTCTTTTTTTTTCTTTTGATTTAACAGAGAATTTTCACTGGTCCACACACCATTCTCCTGGTTCTTTAGAAGCTCTGGCATCAGTCAGTTTGCCTATGCTATCTTTAACAAGACAAATACACCATGAAAGCCGGCATCTCATTTAGCCACGTATCCCGTGCTTCTAACGGCCACGTATCTGGCCCGCGTCTCGGACCCGATACGTCGGGAAGCTTCGCGGGCCATCTCCCGTGTTGCTCCAGCCAAGACTCCTTCCCTCCGCCGCCACACGCGCCACCCTCGGCGACGCCGCTCCACCCCAATAGCCCGACCTCCTTCTCATTGCTGTGTCGTCCTTCACCTCGCGCGGTCTCCAAATCGGGCGGTGCTCTCGCTTTCGCTGCCTTCTGCGGTTCTGCCATCTCCAGCTTCCTCCGCTAGCCACTGTCGGCTCCTCCTCAGGATCAGCGCCGCCACCTACTACTACTTCCCCGCCAACGCGCTGCACCAGAAGGCCATCGCATTCAGGTACGCGCTTCTCTTCGAGGATGCTGCGACGAAATCTGATCGTCACTCTACTGAAAGTATATCAGCAGATGAATCGGCGAAGGAGTACGTGGTCACATAAAACGCAAGAGACAGCGATTAGACAGGTTTAGGTCATTGGCTCGACGTAATACCCTACGTTCTTTTGTCTTTGTGGATTGTTTTACGTATGATTAGATACGATATATCTTCTAGAGACCTCTGCTCCCTCCTTATATACTCTGGAGAGGTAGGGTTATAAGAAAAATATCCTTTTTGGTATTACAATATCTTCTTGTAGCTTTGCGGTGCATGTCGATAAGTGTTGTGCGCCGCACGTCTTAATCTTGTGGGCTGGGCCACCTCTCATGGTGCGGCTCATGTCTTGTTCTGTGGATACCGGATGTCATACCCCACAGCTAATTCCCGAGCATCTTGTATTTGTGCTTGGCGACGTTGTCTTGATCAAGTCCGAGCAGTTTATCATAAAGCCGAGCGGTGAATATCGAAGCCGATCAGTATGACTAGTAATCTAAGCGGTAAAGATTGAAACCGACCAATTTGATTGGTAAACTGAGCGGTGAAGATTGAAGCAAACTGGTCGGCAGGCTTCGGACTTGTACGAGTAAGGCTTGCCAGAAGAATGTAAGGAGCTCAAGATAAAATTTAAAAAGTCACCTTAGGTGAATTGTAGCCACTTAGACTCCTTAATCAATAAGGAGGGTAAATCAGAAAAGCACTACATTCGTCGTCAGGTGAAGTATAGCCACTTAGTCCCCGAGTCTGCTGGAAGATGAAGAAATAAATCTTGTAGCAGGGTCAAAGGAAATAAATCTGAAAGCTTGCCAATGTCATCTGTCATGTACTTATTAAGACCCCAGACGTGCTGTCTAAAATCAGCACCCTGATCCAAATAGCATGGAGCAACTTAAAAGCAAAGCGATGAGATATAGCAAAATCCAAACGCCAAAGGAGTCCCCAGCTTAGCTGGCGACTCTTGCATGAAGAATCTAAACACCGAGGAGTCTTCAGCATAGCTGGCAAGTCCCTAGCGTAGCTGTTGATGAAGCTGAAGCGACGAGCAATCTAATCGGCGGTGAAGTGAATGCCTGAGCGAAAGTGAGCATCGAACAGTCCAACCAACTAGTCGGTGATGAAGTCCATGAACCGAACGGTCCGACCAGTTGGTCGGCGGTGAAGTTCGAGTGCCAAGTGGCGCGACCACCCAGACAATGATCCTCTTGTCCTTTCTAACGGATCCAGTCCCCGAGCTAACCATGCCTCTGAAATAAAAATATGTAGAACATGTAGTTTATGATATAAAAATAAAATATATAAAACCTGAAGGAAAATCAACAGTGATGAAATAACGTATGCAGCTTGGTGATCAATTCTAGATGAAGATTATGTTCGTTTTTGGATGAAGTGTTTATATTTAATATAAACCATCCAAACAGTTAGTTTGTAGTTGAGTCTTCAGCCCTGGCTAGCCCGTTAACCATAACGCGGAGCGTGGAGCCTGTGTGCGTATAGGAAGAATAAAGTGTCGTCAAGGAGCCGCTGTCGATCACCCGTAACACAGAGGGCAGACGCTCGTGCATGTGTAGGGAGAAGACGGAGATAGGACCGTCTCTGGGGACGTCTGAGCGTCAACATAACTGCTCGGGGATTTATTGAGTCGAAAGCGTGTGTCATCTTTAAGACGGTATACGCGGAGAAAAAAGTCTTTTAGAGAATAATTATGGAGAAAACAGCTTTGAGCGATATCGGAGACTTATGAAGATTAGAGAATATTTAGAAGAATATTAAAGCGTGACTTAGCTTGATTGACGCCGAGTGGAGTAGAGAAGTCGGTGAGTCATGATGTCCGAGTCGATGGGTGTGATTTGGATGGCTCGCTTGACCGCTTGGACGGCTCGCTTGACAGCTCGGATTGCTCGTTTGGCAGCTCGGACGGTTCGCTTGGCAGCTCGGACGGGTACGCGGAGTCGTAGACGAACGGGCGTAATCGGAGCCTGATGGAGTCAATCCACGTGGGGAGGCGAAGCCCTTGAGCGTGTCCGACTGAGGCGAGGGCGCAGTCCGAGATCTTCCTTGCATGTCTGAGATACGTGAGGTTGCTTGCATGGTGGTGTAGATCCAGATGCATATGTGCTTGTATATCTCTTCAACTACTCCAATTAGTTTGTACGCCAATCAGCATCTTTGGTGGAAACACTGCTCCACATCGCGTTATCGCCGGCCGCCTTTCCTGATTGCTGGTTGTCGTAATCCGCCGAAACGATCTTGCATATCGGATCAGATACGAGCAACAATAAGATGTGATTAGGTTTCTCCCAACCGAAATCATGTAGACATACGGATATATTTGGAAGCATAATAACAATATTTAATTAGGAAGAGACTTGACTTAGCTTTCTTAGATTGCTTGACTCCGATCTTATTGTCCCGTGTTGCGTCTGTTGGAGGCGCATGGCAAGGCATCATACTTCAGTACGTGCGGCCGTTTGCTGAGGAAAGCAATCCGCTGCGTGCCAGCGTCGAGTTGCCGCCGAATGCCGAGTTGCCGGCGACGTTGGTTGAAGAAAAGATTCACATCTGGTTCGCCATAGAATCAGCACGCACACCCCCTACCTGGCGCGCCACTGTCGACGAAATTTGGTCGGCAGTCTACTGAGGAAACCAGATGGTGACACAGAACGCAAGAGACAGCGATTAGACAGGTTTGGGCCGTCGACTTGACATAATACCCTACGTCCTGTATCTTTGTGGATTGTATTGCGCATGATCAAATTTGATATATCGTCTAGAGTACCCTTGCCCCTCCTTATATACTCTGGAGGGGTAGGGTTACAAGAAAAATATCCTATTTGGCATTGTAGCCTTGCGGTACACGCTGACCAGTGCCATACATCGTATGTCTTGATTTTGTGGGCTAGACCAATTCTGATAATGCGCATGTCCTGTGGATACCGGGGGTAGTACCCATAGATGCCTCCTACTCGAGACTCTTCGGTGGTGGTGGTGCGGCTCTCCCCTTCAGTATGGCAGCCACGCACGGCGACCGCACAAGGTGGTGGCGGAGCTAACCTGTGCGGCGCAGCGCCAGAGGGGGCAAACTCAAACACAAACGACACAGCTCCATCCTTAGTGAGCACAAATTCGATCCTCGATTGCCCTGTCTTCCTCCCTACCTCTAGCTCTCATTTGACCAACTCATGGCCGAACAGAATAGGATACGTCTGGATTTGGTGATCTCGTCTGGATGTGCACTGCCAACACAACTCCAACAACCGTTGGCCATCGAATTCATATCAGATCAGATGCATGCTTCTGTGAATGAGGTCCACTGTCATACTGCATGCATGGCTTTTACTTAAAACAAGGGATCAAAAATAAGTAACCAAATTAAGCCTTTACATTATTACCTTTCTAATCCAACATATGCTGCTATCAGAAAAATTGCATAGATGAGTGGTGACCGGTTGGTACCTAAGTTCTGAATGGGGTGCTGACAAGGAGAGGGACTGTTCTAATGTTTATGATTCTACTTCTACATTTGCTAACAGGGAACTAGTAGATAAAGTGAAGGAAGAAATGGTATTACTAAATAACTCGTTTTCAGTTTTTACTGTAGACCCAACATTTGTGTACATAGACTTGTTCAGGCAATCAGACCAATGTTGTAACTGTAAGATAAATTGCTGAATTTTCAGAATAGTATATCTGAGAACCAAAGTGGCAGCCTGGACTCTGAAGCAAGTAAAACATCCATGACTTTTTCTTTGAACAAAAAAAAAACATGATGTAATATATATTTTTTACAACAAAACTACAAGCTACCATACAGGTATACAAAAAGGCTGCTTTTGCAGGAACACTTATGTCGTATATTTAGGGCATTAGGCAATTAGGATTGCTAAAATCACAGCAATGTTCATAAACCAACTAAGTAGCAGTGCTAATCTGCTTTTCCAGGAATACTTAAACTGTATGGTTAGGTACTTAAGCTTCAAAAAAAAATACAATGTTCATAAACTAACTAGCAGCACTAACCTATCTGCAGACCTTGAACTAATCTGGGTAAAACATATGAATTACTCATACAGATCCCTAAAGTACATCTCAAGAAAATTAAATGGAAGAACATGCAGAGAAGTAAAAAAGTATACCCTTGTATGGCAGGATCAAATGACATGAAAAGCCGGTGTGAACGCTCAGGCCATGTTTTTGTGAACATCCTATAGCAAGTCCTTGCCGTTGCACGGACCTGTATATGCAAATATGGCATTAAATATAGAACATGTATAGAGAAATTATTCAGGATCCCAAGACAGAACATTAATATGAACTAAGGGCGCGTTTAGTTTCAAAATTTTTTGGTTTTTACCCATCACATCGAATTTTTGGACGCATGGATGGATCATTAAATATAGACGAAAAAAAAATTAATTGCACAGTTGGGTGAGAAATCGCAAGACAAAACTTTCGAACCTAATTAGTCCATAATTAGACATTAATTGCCAAATACAAACGAAAGTGCTACAGTAGACAAAGCCAAAAATTTTCGCGAACTAAACGTGCACTAAGTCAGGAAATTTGGATGGTGTTATTCCAACCTCAATACCTCACTCATTGCATCTGCAACACAGGACTTTATTAGGTCTTCATACAAATCAGCTGAGCAGTGTATTTCTGGAGCATCTGCCCAATACTCCAATGTTAAGAGTGCATATTCGCAGCACCTGCCATAGTAGCAAATAGGCATGAATTGCTTGCAAAACAATGGATGTCCAGATAAATATGATGCTAAAATACGAATACCTAGCACGGAGGACTGCACTGCGGTCATTCTTCGCTGTATCAGCTATAAGTGGAAGAATATGTGAAACCTTGCAGTTGCACATGATCTGCAAGATAATACATGTCAAAAAAAGGGGAATATGTAATGTGAGGGGGGGCGCACAATTCAATGAAAGAATGTAGATGTATTACAGATTTTATGCAGTTGTCCGCAGATTCGGCAATCACAAGCACAGTTATGATAACAAGCTTAAAAAATACCTGACAATTTCATTGTATATTAACCTTAATGAAGTATCAAGCCACATCTGTGCAGTACTGAACTGGTTTCAAGGATTACCGGAATAAATATTTCAGCACATGGTTCAAAATCACCAAGAAGTTCCTTTGATAGTACATTAAGAGTCTGTTTGGCAGGACTCTGACTCCTTTGAAAATAGCTCCGGCTCTGCCTCTTTTTAAGGAGCAGCTCCTCTGGAGGAGCTGAAGCCGTTCTGAAAAACGTTTGGCAAAACGGCTCCTTCGCACTAGACGACGTGAACCCACATTAAGGAGCCGCGCGAAGCTCGTTTTTGAGGCATCTCTTGCGCAGGCAAAAAATGGCTTCGGCTCTTGACCGGCTCCCCATACAAAACCCTTTTCAAAACAGACGTTTGGCACATCTCCTGCAGAGCCGGAGCTGAGGCTCTAAGTAGATGGCATGCCTGTAGAGAAGATCAAGTCAGCAAGGTCATCATTAATCACTTGTCTTGTCGGAAAAACTTTTCTGACAGAATTTCTGTAACTAAGGTAGAAGAGTTTTATAGTGCTAGCAAAACCGTAAGCCACACCTAGAAAAGCCCGCCTGGGTCCAACGACCCGCACCAGAAACAGTCAAGTGAAACGTGATTTGTCCAGCTACTTGGAGCGGTGTGGAGTGGATATTGTAAAAAATCCTACCGTCCCATTTGTAATTCAAGACAGTCTGAACTGAATATTATAGGGAAGAACTTTACATTACATGTATAGACCCATAGATTTAGGTACTGTAATGGTTACATTAATGCGTGGCTACAAAATGATAGAAACTGTTGACCTATGCTCCTTAGGTGGGTGGCTTTCCACCACTGAATAATTGGTGGTGCAGTCTCCTGGCAAGCTGCTTACATCCTTAGCTACAATAAATTGGTGCTGCAGTCTCCTGGCACAGCCTCTCCTCGCTACAAGCTACAGCCCCCGAGCATATTTCCGAACAGCTTCTTGACCGGAGACTAGAAAGTGTTGCTCCATGCTCCTTGGCTCCGAATGATTCCTGAGTTAATTCTTGACCAGAAAGTATTCTTCTACTTACACAGCAACGAGCAGCCACCGCCCAGCGTTCCGGTGGCCATGTTGCCGAAGTCTGGTGCCGCGCAGTTGGTCTGCACATTAGTCAGTATTGATCTGCAGAAGTCATCGAGGTCTCTTGCCACCCAGCTACTCTGGACCCCTGTTGCCATAGCACCGGTGTTGGGCACCACCCAGCTACTCTGGACCCCTATTGCCATGGCACCGGTGTTGGGTACCACCCAGCTGCTCTGGGCCCCTGTTGCCATGGCGCCATTGTTGGGCACCACCCAGCTGCTCTGGACCCCTGTTGCCATGGCGCCGGTGTTGGGTGCCACCCAGCTGCTCTGGGACCCTGTTGACATGGCGCTGTTGTTGGGCACCACCCAGCTGCTCTGGACCCCTGTGGACTGCTCCTGATCAAAACTGTTATTGCTCTGCACATCAACCCCTATCGAGCTCCAGAACTCCAGTTCTCCTGCAGACAGCTGCTGCGCCACTGGCATGGTAGATTGTTGGACCATCAACTGTGGCACCGCGATGTCCTGCTGCTCTGTAGTCGGCACCTGCGCCTCCAACTCCGTGTACTGCTCTGACGCTGCGGACGGGAAGCCCTGAAAGTCGCTGCTGCCAAGAAGAGGGCTCTGCCGGAAGTTGTCATCGTCGATCAGAACGAGGTGTGAGGGTTCTTCGTCTCCAGAAGCATATGCCACGCCCGAGGAGCCGTGATCGAGCATCGCCCCAGAACAAGGAAGCGCTGATGAACCGCTGGCCGCGGTGGCGCAGCGCGCATGACCACTACTCTGGCGGACTTGTTGGCCACCCGGCACACGCATGCGCATCCGACCGTGTCCGCTGAAGGCGATGTGGCAGATCTTGACGAGCGACGGGCAGGGCGGCGCGGCGATGCTGTACTCGTGCATCACCCACCCCACGCTGCCGCTGTTCTTGCCCTTGCCCATGTGCAGGTTGAGGTTGCTGACGTGGACCCTGATCCTCTCGCCGCGGACGCGCAGGGACTTCTCAACGCTGCTCTGCATCTTCCATGTCCCGACGCCACCATCGCAGGCGCGGTCCTGGCGGGCGCCGGGTTTCTTGGCTTCGTTGGTGCGCACGATGAAGTAGGCCTCATCCTCGCTCCCCACGCCGTGACGTTCGAAGAGATCCCAGGGCAGCGTGCTTCCCGCCGCGTCGTCCTCGAAGATGACGCCGGGGAATGGGTCCTGGCCACTGGCTCGCGGGAGGAGGTAGAACTCGACGAGCTCGCGCTTCTTAGGCCGGAACCTGTAGGTGGGTGGGGATGGGATCTGCTCCGCCGACGACGACGACGACATGGATGGGATTTGCTGCTCCGACGGCCAGAGGCGGATCTAGTTTTGAGGGATCTACACTCGATATTTATTAGGCTGCGTTTTTTGATACAAGAAAGAGAAACGGTTTCGTTTCTCAACTGAATCACCAAACCGCGTCACAAACACAGGAATCGGAGCTGAAACGGGCAGAGGCTAGTTTCGATCGAATCTATTTCTGGTCTCCTCTCTGTAATACTGATTTTATTTCTTAGTTAATCTTTTTAAAGTGCAATAAATTAAAATGAGTTGTGTTTAATTTTTTTTTTGGCCCAAAAGAATAAAAATTTTTTAAGCATGTTTTTATTTATATAGTTTTTTTTAGATCAGATTCTTGGGCAGCTCCTGGAGGTGTTTTGCAGCTTCCTCGGCCAAATGTTTCAAAAAGAATCTGTCTACTGAACATTCGGTTGATTTTGGGCTCCCTAACAACCGGTTGTTTCAAAGCCCCAAAACAATCGGAAAAAGAAAAAAAGAAAAAACAGTTGTTCCGAACCAATGAAACAACCGATTTATAAAAAAAAACCACGGCTTCTGTGCTTTGCTGTTGTAGGCCCAAAAATTGAGAAAGAAAAGACCCAAACAACAAAAAGGCAATAGGCCCAAAAGCTCTATTGATTCACCCAAAGACCGGTACGTAACACTAATCTTGAATAGCTTTAACACCCTCAAAGCTACATAAAACAAAAGATACACATAAAAACCTACATGACAAATAGACAAAAAAATAATATACAAAAATAAAGATGAAAAAATTATGTACCAGCTCCATTAGCTGTGAGCAAGACCACAAAAGACTTTATAGTAGCCCATCTCAGTTTCAGACACATTAAAACGACGAGAAGATTTTTGATGCTTGAGACTATGATCTGCACAATACACAAAACGTAAGGGAAAATGAAAAGCCACAGCTAGACAAAATAGACCAAAAATAAACATGAAATGGAAACAGCGTAAGTCCACATAATTTTAATTATATGAAAACTAAAAATAGAATAAAATAGACCACAAATGAGCCTGAAATCAAAAACCTCAATTCTACAATAATGAAAATGAACTAAAACTATCTTAAAATGAACCTGAAATCAAGAACCGAGATTCTAAAAAAGTAAAAATGAACTATAACTGAAATAGAGATTCAGATTGATTCTTGCAAACAAGATTCTACGGTACTGAACCTAAAATCTAAAAACTGAACTAACTGAAACTAAAATCTATGCACTAAACTAAAACTCTGAAAACTAAACTAAAATAAAATTTACAGAACTAAATCTGTAATCAAACACAACTAAAAATGAAAAATAGACTATACTAAACAATTATAGAAACATTTCACCTTCAACTACATGAGTCATGTTATTGGTCATCCGGATGTTCAAATTCTTTTTGTTGTACAGTTGGTCAGCTAATTCTCCCATGTCCAAGGAACGACCTTTGGATTTTGTTTCCTTAAAAATATAGACCTCAGGTGAAACCTGCCCACAACCCATACAATAAATCTCAAAATAAGAAAATATAATTTCATCCATGACCAATAGCTTAATTTAACATATAAAAAAAGATCCCCGCCTAATTATACAAAACTTACATCTTTGATAGGGTTTGAAATTGAAGCTTGTAACGATGGAACTGCAGGTAGATGAAGTTCGCTAATGAAACGATTAGGCTTCGATTTGGGATTCATCGGCATTGCTGGAGCTAAAAAATACACAGTAAATACAAATACTAGAAACTAATAATAGTTAATACAAATTTCATATGAAAAACACAAAAAGAAATACAATACCATGCTGCGATGATACAGATATATTCCTACTAAACTCCCTCCCAAACAAGAATACTGGTGTGACGAGAATAGGAACATGATTTGACTTGACTTGGTTCTGAAAGCGTTTAGTATTCTACCCAAGAAATTGAACAGAAATAGATTCACACGAATTAATGATTTGAATATAAAAAATATATAACTTAAAAGAAAAAACCAGAAATACGCACATCTGCAGAACGATGGAGACCTTTATCTGATGCAGCATACTTTCCATTTTCGCCATTTGTGCTTGGGGGCTTCTCATGATGTCATGTGCGGACGGATGACGACAAGGCGCAAAGCAAATACGCACGTGACGACGTCATAGCCGTCTTGCTGCTAGAGAGGCCCATGATCCACCAACCACTGAAGGGCAACTTCCGGTGGCTAGAAATCAGGGATTGGATTAGAGGCTGTTTTGGTTAGTCCTATAATTAGGGGAATTCCTTCCATAGTTGGTTGAGCCATTGGCTATTTATTCCTGTAAGCAGGGAAGAATGAATTAAGCAAGATTAATCTCCTATTCTCTTCTTCCTCCACGCCTCCTAATCCCAGCCGGTTGAGAGGGGTATAACCTCCACCCTGGAAGACTCAAAGGAGACTACGAGCTTCGTGAGTCGAGGGCCAGCCTACCCTAAACTACGATGCCCTTGACACCTCTGGTATCACGGTCTCGTCGATCCTCTCCCACCCGCTCCTCCTCCGCTCCTCTTCCGCAGCCGCCTTGACCCGATTCCGCCGCACCCCTTATCGCCTCCTCACCAGCGGCGTCCGTCTCCCTCGCGCCAATCATGGCCGAGCCCTCCGCATGCCGACCTCATGGCAGCCATCAAGGCCCTCACCGAGCGACATGGCTACCATGAAGGCCGATATGGCCTCATTTGAAGAAGGAGAAGTCCGAGTCGTCGCCGGCGGCGCGGTGGCGGTGGCGATCGCAGCGGAAGGTCAAGACTACGACTACCCGCCAAAGCACAAGAAAGTGGGATTTCCCGCCTGACCAGCACCACCGACCCCATGCTCTTCCTCAACAAATCGACTCCTACTTCCGCCAACACCGTACCATGGCGGAGGAACGCGTGTGGCAGGCTTCCTACCACCTCGACGGCGTCGCGCAGCTGTGGTATACCCAGCTCGAGGAGGACTCCGGCACGCCCACCTGGGCGCGCTTCAAGGAGTTCCTCAACTCGCGTTCGAGCCGCCGCTCCGATCGGGCGCCATTGTTCGAACTCACCGAGTGCGGCGTCAGACGGCACCGTTGAGGAGTACTCAACCGTTGCCAGCGCTCCGCCTCGGCGGGTCGTTCGACGAGGAGGAGCAAGGCGTACTCTACACCGGCGGTCTGCTGGCGCCGTTCAGCCATGCCGTTCGCCTCCACAACCCCGACTCGCTCGCCGCTGCCATGAGCATCGCGCGCCAGATCGAGCTGATGGAGGCCGAGCGCCCGACGCCGCTGCGCGCGCGCGCGCTGGGCATCCTACGCCGCGCCCGCCTCGCCTGCCGCCACCACCACTACCGGCGCCGGCCGGCATCGCCGCACCCTTGGCCAGCAGGCCGGCGCATGACGGGAATCGCCGCCGCGCCGAGGGGAGATGGAGCGCCGCCGTCTCGGTCCAGCTTCAACCGCAATGAGAAATACACTCATGCCATAACCGTTTTGCGGCGCATCTTCTTCCGGAGGGTGTCGAGATTGAAGACGTCGCGACGCGGCGGCGGCGGCCGCGCGCCGACGCCGAGGCCCCCTCTTTTCCCTGTGCCGTGGGCCGGGTCCCCGTGGCGGGTACCATGCGATCCGCGTGGCCCTCGGCGCCATGACCCTCGTCGCTCTCCTCGACTCGGCGGAAGACGATAACTTCATCTCGGAGGCGCGCCGGCGTTGCCTTCCTTCCTGCGCCATCGCCCCGCCTCACCGCCTTGGTCACGAACGGCGATGCGCGTCACTGCGACGGCGTCATCCGCGCTGCGCCCCGCTCATCGGCGCGTCGCGTTTTCGGGCCGACCTCTTCGTCATGCGCATTGGCCGGTACGACGTAAATCGTCTCTGGGACACGGTGGTGTGGCGCGTGCGCAGGCCCATCGTCTGGGACCTCGGCGCGCGGCGCGCGATGACGTTTCCGGAAGCCTCTCGCCAGCTCGTGAAAAGCGCCGCCGCTTCTTCAAAGACTGCTCCTGGCGCCACTCGGAGGCGGCCTCTCCTCGGCTTCTTTGCCGAGCGCAGACGGGCTCTTCGCGAGCGGACCCGTGGTTCCGCCCCAAACTGCGCAGCGCCGACCACCGTGATCACCACGAAGCTCGGGCTGCCGTGACCCGTCGCGCCAGACGGCCTTATCGGTACCGGTGGCGCACAAGGACGAAGTTGAGCGGCGATGCGCGCCGCTATGATCGAGCGAGGGATCGTCTCGCCGCGGCTGACTTCGCCTTTCGTCGCCGGTCCTCCTCGTCCAAAAAAGCCGGACGGTTCGTGGCGTTTCTGCGTCGACTACTGTGGCGCTCAATGCGCTCACCGTCAAGGACGCGCCTTCCGATCCGGTGGTTGGCGAGCTCCTCGACGAGCTCCATGGCGCTAAGTTCTTCACCAAGCCGGACCTCGGTCCGGGTACCACCAAAAGCGGATGCGGCGGAAGATGTTCACAAGACGGCGTTCGCGACCCACGGCGATATGGCCTCTACGAGTTCCTGGTGATGGCATTGGGCTATGCAATGCTCCGCGAACGCGTTCGAGCTCGATGAATGACGTGCTCCGGCCGTTTCTCCGTCGTTTCGTCCTGGTATTTTTTGATGATATTCTCATCTACAGCAGGACATGGGCAGATCACCTCCGTCATCTTCGGGCCGTCCTCGACGAACTGCGACGCCACCAGCTCTTCGTCAAAGCGCTCCAAATGTTCCTTTGGCGCCCCTCCGTCCGCCTACCTCCGCCACATCATCTCCGCGCTAGAGGTGGCCATGGACCCGTCCAAGGTGCAGGCGATCCACGACTCGCCGGCTCCGCGCTCGGTGCGGGCAGTACACGGCTTCCTCGGTCTGGCGGGCTACTACCGCAAGTTCGTCCCACGCCACGGGCACTTGTGCACCACCATCGGCGCTCCTCAAGGAGGCTTCTCCAGGGACGACGCGGCGACCTCGGCGTTCGCGGCTCTCAAAAGCCGCCATCACGGCCGCCCCGTCCGCCGCCATGCCGGACTTCACCAAATTGTTCACCGTCGAAAGCGACGCGTCGACCATCGGGTTTGGGGCGGTCTCGACTCGGGAAGGTCACCGCTTCGCCGCTTCACGGCCCGGCGGTGGCGCCCGCGCCACCAGCCGCTTACCTCTGGGCTGAGCTTATCGGCCTCCTCCAGCCGTGCAACGCGGGCGGCCGTATCGGGCGGCGCTTCATCGTCAAGACGGACCACTACTACTGAAGTATCTCCTCGACCGGCGCCCGCCACGATTCCTCAAAGACCACTGGGTCGGCAAGCTCTTGGCCCGACTTCTCGGTGGAGTACCGCTCCGGCGCCACAAACATCGTCGCGCGACGCCTCTCCCGCCGCTTACACCGAAGAGGGGAGGTCATGGCGATCTCGGCGCCCGCGCCGACCTCGTCGACCGTCTGCGCCATACATGGAAAAACCACCGACCTTGCCGGTCGCCCTCTACACCGAGGTCCGTGGCGGGCGCTTCGCCACGCCCCTGGCGGTGGATGGCATGGTCACCCACGACGGCCGCCTCTACATCCCACCCCGTCGCCGCTTCTCCGGAGGTCGTGGCGTACCGTCCACAACGATGGCTACGAAGGCATCCACCGCACTCTCCATCGACTTGGCGAGATTTCCACTTCCCCAACATGCGCCGCATCGATGCGGGGAGTTCGTGGAAGCTGCCGTACGCCGCCAGAAGATAAGTCGGACCACCTCCCCGCAAAGGGCTCGCTGCTGCCGCTCCGATGCCATCCATGATGCAGGCCGACATCGGCATCGACTTCATCGAGAGGCGCCCAAGGTGCGAGGCAAGACGGTCATCCTCTCCGTGGTGGACCGCCGAAAAATCGCCACTTCATCCCGTTGGCACACCCCTACACCGAGGAGTCCGTCGCCCAGGCTTTCTTCGCCGACATCGTTCGCCTCCATGGTGTTCCACAGTCCATTGTCTCGGACCGCGATCCGGTGTTTACGTCGGCGTTCTGGCAGGAGCTTATGCGGCTCACCGGGACAAAGCTCTTCATGTCATCCGCCTTCCATCCGCAGACGGACGGACAGACCGAGGCCGCCAACCGCGTCATCGTCATGTACTTGCGTTGTTTCTCCGGTGACCGTCCGCGCCCGATGGCTTTCAGTGGTCGCCATGGGCGGAGTACATTTACAACACCGCCTACCGATCCTCTCTCCGCGACACGCCGTTCGGGTGGTCTGGCCGGATCCCCGACCATTCGCTCCTATGAGCCGGGCGAGACCCGGGTGGCATGATGGCTCAGAGATGGAGGAGCGCTTGCCGCTTCCTCGGACGACGTCCGCTTATCGCTGGAGCGAGCTCAGTATGAAGCGCATTCACGACCGGCACCATCGCCGGTGTCCTTCCGGTGTTCGCGTCGGGCTTGGTCAGGCTTGCGCTGCACGCCGGCTTACATTTCCTCCCCAACGCGCCAGGGGAAGCTCAAGCCTCGCTATATCGGGCCGTATCAAGTTCTGGAGTTGATCAACGAGGTGGTCATCCGCCTCCCATACCGCCGAGCACGGTACCGCACGACGTGTTCCACATAAAAATCCTCGGGAAGTTCAGGTCGGACACCGCCCGGCTACCCCTCCACCATCGCCTTCCACACTACGCACGGGCTGCTGTTCTGCACTGACCAAAGGTCGCTAAGGCCCGGATCGCCCTAAGCGCGGCAAAAACTTTACATCGTCGAATGGCGTGGCGAGCCACCGTCTGCTTGCTACAGGAGGATCTGGATGACTTCCGCTCTCGGTTTCGGCTTTTTCGATTTCGAGGACGAAGCTAGACTTCGAGGCGGGAGAGATGTCATGTGTGCGGACGGAAAATACTAAGGCCTAGAATAGTTAATGACGACGTCACTGCATGAAGTGGCAGCAGAGACCGCGTCCATCCAAAGACCTGAAGGGCAACTTAAGTGGCTAGAAATCGTGGATTGGATTAGAGGTGTTTTGGTTAGTCCTATAATTAGAGGAATTCCTTCCATAGTTGGTTGAGCCATTGGCTATTTATTCCTATAAGGTGGAAGAATGAATTAAGCAAGATTAATCTCCTATTCTCTTCTTCCTCCACGCCTCCTAAGCCCAAAGTAGGTTGAGAGGGGTATAACCTCCACCCTGGAAGACTCAGCCGGAGACTACGAGCTTCGTAGTCGAGGGCCAGCTACCCTAAACTACAGTGCCCTTGACACATGAACTATGTCTGAAAACATTTTAAAAAAATGCTAAAATGCTTATTAATGACAGCAACCCAAAATCCAAAAGAAAAAAAAAGCATAATTGCACAACATATTCAACATAAAGTTTCTATATAACTGAAGCTGGTGGGGCTTTTTATTCATGGAATTAAAGTTAGCATCATGGTTGTTGCAAACAGGTGCATTACGGCAAGCATGGCTACTGTGTGCTACTTCAGAACCGTGGGTTTTCTTCCCCAGGTTTTGAGATGCATCATGAAGGATCTGTAGAACACTGAGCACTAAGCTTTCTGCTCGCAGATTACAGTAATGGCACTTCCAATATGAATTATCTTGAACAAGGTTGCATAACTCATCAACAACCTAATACAAAAATATAATAAACTTAACAAAAAAATAAAAGAAGATGACAATAGGTAAAATGAAACGAAAAAAAACTTACATCAGAAGGCAAATGCCCTCCGAAATATGTTGTAAGCTTCTCCTTGAATGCATTTCTTTTAAAGGACTCCTAGTAAATTTAAACAAAACAATATAAAAAACACATATAAAAACTTATAAAAATAACAAACCTCATTCTCTTCATGCAGATTGAGTTTGGTTTTATTAGGGAGCTCCTGGACATATTTTACTTTCTAAAAGAATAGTCAAAAACAACTTCAAATTTAAGTAGATATGAATTGAAAAGCAAAACTAACATACCTTCTCCTTACAAAAGTTAATGAACTTTTGCATCATTTCTAAATGAGCTTCCATCAAAACAACCTGAAAAATAAATAGGCAAACAAAAATAATAATAAGAATTAACATAAAAGAACAGAGTAACTACATAAATGATATACTTACACTCTTATCATCTTCAAAATTTTCAAACCTAAAAATGTTGTTATGCTGCCCTAATCGAACAGAAAATGAATTACCACCATGGTCCGCGGGGCTCTTCCTTTTCGTAGCCATCTGATTCATAAAGAAAATAAAACACTTCAGACATCAGGTCAACATCATGCAAAGCCAGGAGCAAGCTCAAAGTCAATGGGTGCATGCCCTAAAAATAAATTCTAAATGATTTGAAGTTAACTAGTACTGATACAGGCTATAGAATGCAATCCTCAGAAAGAGCAGCAGACCAAAAACCGAAAGTACTCAGTAAGCAATAGCAGAAAATGAATCTAATTCAGGGTACTATAAATCATTAACTAGCAGCCAGCTAACTTGCGTTGAACAAAAAACTCATGTGCATGCAGCTAAGAACAAAAAAAACTAGAATAGGGAGGATCCACTTATTCTGAATGAATGAGAATAGGCATGGTAGTCAATTTGCTTGAAAAACATTACAACTTTGTAGTAAGAAAAACAGATAGGTAAACATTTTGGTAGTATAAAAATAGCATGGCTCATAAAAATTGAATACAGATTGACTTGCTCTGAATGATAATGCAACCCTGTAGCTGAACAAAGTAAATATTGATGATACTAGCAGGCTGACAGAAACACTAGCAAGAGAAATATAGCTAAACGTACAAAGAAGATTAGAAACCAAGTAATGATTAATGAAAAGGACTACAGCTAGATTGCAGATCTAAACTGACAAAATGGTTGAGAGAATAATACCTGAACTTTATATGAAATGGCTGCTGCACCAAGTTTCTGAATAGAGACCCAACAGTGAGGAAGAGAACAAAAAATAGTAGTAATTGCTGCCACTTACTGCTGATCTGAAAACCAAAAAAAATAAGCTTTGAGCTGCTGAACTAAAAAAGAGCAAATCACAAAAACTGTAGTTCTTGCAACATGGACAGAGATACAGAGAAGGCAAAAATAGAAAAAGCAAGGAACTGAACTCAAAATAAATAAGCTACCTGCTACCAAAGTTCTACTGCTACAAATATAAAAGTAGAGTAAACTAATAACTAAACTGATGACAAAAATGGTTTATTTCTGTTGCAAAAGGAAGGAACCGATCCGAACGAATTGAAAGCACCGGCCCCCGGGCCCCGTATGGCCATGCAATAACATGCACGCATGCATTAACTAAAAAAAATTCCTGAATTTCCTAAAGTTGTGCGGAAGCAAAATGGCAAAAAACGTATTAAATTAATCACTAAAAAGCTGGCTAACAAAAGCTCTAATAAGCAAAGCAAATATTAAACAAAAAGAGCCAATTGGGAAGAACAACACAAGCTGCAAGTGAACTGAACTGAATAAGACCAAGATCATTTCTCTCACAGAATTAATTAATGCTCCTAGCAAAACACAAGATAGCAGACTGTTTCTTCAGAGTACAGCTAACACAATGCAACGTTGAAATACACTAGATCGAGTTCAACGCCAACAGCTACTGATTACGTACAAATGACGTGATGGTGCTTGAAAGATCAAGTCATGTCAGTGAGACAAACTGTCATGCAAAAACAAAACTCAAAAGAACTGTTACTGTAGCTGGACAAAGACGTTTCACAAGCTAGAAAACTCAATCCAACGTTTAGCTCGAGAGGTACTGCTGAAACACCAAATACGCATTTGAGACACAGCAGCAAGCACGAGAAACTGAACGAACTTCAAATCTGAACTGACAAAACCAAGAGAAGAGGCACCGGAAGGATCATTGCTGATAGAGTCCAAGCACCGGAAAAGAAAAGTTACAGACCATCTGAAAGTACCGAAACTGGTTACTGCTTCTGAACTAAAAAAAAAGACGGATTCTCTGAATTGAATTGATGAAGCTACAGAGGGCATTGCTGAATGCCAGCTGCTGCCGCCGTTATGATAGAACTGAGAAGAAAAGCAGCCAGCAAATAAGAGAAATGGCACAGATTTATCAGCATGGACAGATAACTGAGAAGTAACTGATTTCAGCACATAACAATTGGACAGCAGTGACAAATAAATAATACCATGTATTTGTACATAAAAGAAACTGAAGGAGCACAAGAGTGATGAACCTTACTATATATCTACTCAAAAGCCAAATCACTACTAGCAGAAAACAGAGGACTAGTGAGACAAACATGAGCTGAAACTGAACCATGTCTCTGTACTAAACTGAAAAATGAACGGATCTCAGCTGCCGCCCACCAACATCCAGCCCCAATTCCAATTTCCCTTCCACTGCAGCAGCCTCCCGCCATACCCACACCACCCACCCCCAACCCGGTAACCATGGCCGAAAGTCGTCACCGCCCTCCCTGGCACCCCTCCTCACGGCGGCCGCAACCAACCCGATGACGTCACGCCCCTCCTCACGACGGCCGTCGCTCGTCCATGCCGCCCCTGACGGCGGGGACGCCAGCAGTGCCACGCGGAACACGTCGAGCCTCGAGCCGTGCTCGGCGTGGAAACGGAGGCAGCGACTCACCGTGGCCGCGGCCCCACCGGCGGCTGGCCCCGAGCGAAGTCTCAGTCCGTGAGGTCGAGCACCGGAGAGGCGGCCAACGCGACCCCCCGCGCTCCCAACCAAAAACACAACCTCATTCAGATCCTCTCCTATACATCAACATACCGCCGCAAAAAAAACTACCTGCCGCCGCAAAAAAAACAAAACCCTAGCATCGATGAAAATAAAACACAAAGAGAGGGGGCAGGGGGACTTAGCTCGCCGAAACCTAAAAATCGCCGGTCGCCGCGCCGGCGGGCGGCGAGTCACCTCGACTCAACTGGAGGAAGACGAAAAGGGGGAAACGGACGCGATAAAATCAGGCGCCAGTCCCAAAAAAATCAAAACAGAACGCATACAAGCTGAGCCCACATGTCACTGCCACAAAAACAAACACAGGCGCAGACACGAGCGGAGGGCGATCGAGAAGAAAACAAACAGAGATCGCACGCTCCAAAAGAACACACGTGACAACATCGACGGCCACAAAAACGGTTACTGGAAAGACACAAAACAACCGGGCAACATATAGAAATTCTCTTCAAAGAAGGATAGGCTCCTCGCTTGAAGCTCCCGAAATCGGCTGAGAGATGCGGCCGGCGCAAGGCACAGCTAAAAGGACCAAACTATCGCGTGATGGGTCACGCTTTCAACCCCGTCGTCTACCTCGAGCCGCGACGCTTTCTTCCTCCCTGCACCGCTCTTCCTTCCTCCACCACCCCCGCCTCCTCCCCCGCCGGCTACGCTGCACGCAACTCACCGCCGCCCCTCAACCCTGCCCTCCCCTAAACACACAGAGCTCGCAGGCGTCAGTCCTCGCCCTCCCCCTACCCCTGGCTCCACCACCAGTGGCTGGTGCCGAGCCGCCTCACCACGCCACCCACAACCCACCCCCGCCCCTCGAACCCGCCCACGCTAATCACAGAACCTCGTCGCCAACCACCACCGACCACCGCCGCCAACCCCGTCGATCCGATTGTCCCCCACTGCCCCACCGTCAACCTGCCACTACCATCGTGTGACGACCGCCTCCCTCCCGAACCTCCTTCTAGAGCCGCCGGTGATGCCCAACCCTAACGCCGGCGAGCCCCCTCTTCTTCCTCTCCGGCGGGCGCCAGCGCCGGCGAGCTCCCCCCACTCCTCTTCTTCTCCTCCGACGCAGTGTGGGCGCGGGCGCGTGGGCCGGCCTGCGTCACGCGCTATGCACGGAGCGCGACCAAGCGCGTGTTAGATTTTGCGAAGCTAAGGGCGTGTTTGGGACTGCTCCGCTCCATGTTTTTCAGCTCCGCTTCACGTTTTTTAGCCAAACGGTTTCAGCTCCACGCACTCTGCTCCAGGAAAAAGGGTGGAGTTGTGAGAGCACCTAAAGAGGTACTTCACAAACTCCAGTTTTTTGTGGAGCTGCTCCACGATGGAGTTTGTGGAGCAGAGTTTGTGGAGCAGTCCCAAACACCCTCTAAAATAGGCAGCTTCACCCCGCTCTGTCTGAGCGCATGTGGGCCTAGACCCTTTTGCCTCGGCGTTGGTGGACGAGGCCGTGTGGGCGCGCGACGATGAGGCTGAGTGCGTGACGCGTGGGCTGATTGAGAATGACGTGATTTGTTGCTCTGAGGATAGAAACGAGATAAGGAAAAGAAAATAAAATAAAAGAAGGAAATGGTAAGAAAAATAAAGAGACGCGGTTTGTGGCTCGGAGGAGAGAGAAATGAGAGATAAGGAGAGGAAAATAAAATGAAAGGAGAAAATAAAAAATAAAAAGAGAGAGAACGGTATTTGTAACTTTTCAACCTTTTTATGTACCACAAGAAATTGTTTGACCAAACATTTCATAAAACAGCTTCAGCTCCACCCATAAAGCTGCTCAGAAAGCCAAAGCCAAAAAAACGTTATTGTACCAAACAAGCCTTGATATCGTCCACACCGAGGCTTTAGCGTGGAGCGCCTCTCCTGCTCCCTTCCTCGACAACATGTCAACATGTGCCGACATGTGGACCCTCCTTGTACCCCACTCGACACCCCCACCGTGGATTTTGTTCTATTTGGAACTAAAAGGCACGCGAAAAGTTAATTTTACACCTGATCCTTTCTAACGTAGGAGCCACTCCGTGGATCTTTGATATATTGTAGTTAAATACCTGTTTATGTTGCAAGTGTTGTGCTATCATGCACCATAAAATCTACTCAAGCGTGTCAAGGAATGGTGGACAATTTAATCACACATCAAGTTTCCCTAATGTCTGGGCTTCATTAGACTTACATTGTGGAGCTTCCATGTTTGGAGCTATTGGCCATGTTCGCTTGTCTTATGAGCCGTACTATTTCAGCGAACGAACAATGTTTTTCTCTCACAACAAATTAGCGAACAATACTTTCAGCCATGGCTTTTCAGCACAGCGAACAGGGCCATTACCTTTTTCCTTACATGTGCTCATACTTCAATAGCAAGAAGGCAAGAAAGGATTACCTGTTTAACTATGCTCAATCTTCGGTCAGATAGCTGAGGACAATGGAGGAACCAACTGTTTTAAGAGCATAAGAAATGATGGATAATCAACAGCACCTGATAAACAGAGGAGTGTTTCAAACAGGCTAAGCAAATCATGTTCCAAATGAACATCACCATACCATGACTACATACATTGTTTTCTAGTTTTTTTTTTTGGGGGGGGGGAGGGGCTACAAGCTACTAGCTTATATATCCAAAAAGAAGATGCTGTTGCTCCCAGCTCCCAACAGAGATAAAATATGCTAACCGTTACTTGAAATCTTTGTCACAGACTAATATCCCTTGTGTATTATTTATATGGTGCTAAACAAACTGAATGAATTGATCCAGAAAGCTAAAGGTAAAACTTGCCTCCAAATAATGTGTGTTCCCTTGGCATGCCTTTTTTCTTTTTCTTTGGACTGCCTCTTTTTGGAGCACTAACACACTGCATTCTAGCTCCATCGGATGAGGGAGCATTTGGCTCTATTTTATCCAATCTTGAATTTATTTCCTTTAGCTGAAAATGTCAAACGAGGCAAAGAAAGGATATTCGCAATATGCTAGCTAGCATGGTGAACTTTAGATGTAAAAACATGACAAAAGGAGTCCTCATGGGTTACCATGTAAGCAGGTAGATTATGGCGCTGCAGCTCTTCATGGAACTGATATCCCATGTTTCTGTACATCTCCTATAGTGAATATTGATAACGCAAGCAGTCAAGTTACATACAATGTGCTTTAACCAAAGAAATATTAAATGCAGGTCTTTAGGGAGAATCACATGCTGGAAAATAATATATGTTCAGCCATTCATCCCACAAATGACTCCACCCTCCACCCCAAACACACACTGACACGCACACACCACCACCACCACCAAAAAAAAACTTATATGTAGACCAAAGGAACCCTTTTCCACTCTAAGGCCTTTGGGAAAAGCCAAATAGATTGCATATTTGGGTGTGGGTAAAGTGCAGGACATCAACAGTTGCCATTGATGCATTTTTGAAAGCAATATGGCAACAACGTATACAGCAGAAGTAAATGATAGTATAAAACAAGCAACACACAACAAGGAATTAATACTAAATTATTAAATAAAGTGGTTATGAAATATCAGAGAACAGGCACTAAGTATGAGTGAATGATGTTCTGAGCAATAAAAAGCAACCAGAAAAAAGGGTGAAAGCTACAGAAGTACAGATTTTTCACCTTTTTGGTATATTAGACTTATGTGAGATGGAAGTAAACCTAACATACAAGACATTAAGGGTAAGAACAATGGAACTATAGCGAGAGTTTAGATAAAAGTGGAAAAACACATGAAATTAATAAACAAAACAAGAAGTGTGATTTGTACAACATATTTCTTATGAATTGGAAAGGAACTATATGGCATATCTGTAGTGACACACCTCAATACATGATTGCAGCGTCTCTAACACTTTGATTCAAATCACTCATCAATTGTAGAACCTGTGAAGCCAAAGAAGTTTACCATTAACAACTATGGAACAAACTAAAGGGAGAAACTTTCGATAACAAAAATGAAATCATCCTTGCATACAGGTGAAAGCAACACTCGCTGTAGTGGGAGCTCTGTAGAAGCAAAAAGCCCTACTGCAGTTGCAACTGTGTGTACAAACTCTTCCCGCACCCTCCAGTTCTTATGACTTTATGAGTCCATGCATAACTTCCAGCTCTTTCAACAATGATTGTTGGTGAAGAAACCTGAGATACAGACAAGGTTGGAATATAGTTCTCTAATTGCAACGTGGAAAAGGAAATCAGTTCAATTTGCTCTGAGTAATAGCCATATGGTACACACACAAAAAAGGTATCACGTACTGATTTTTAACATGGACACATGGTACAATCAATAGGGAATAGCATACCAGAACACCATATCAGGGATACGCACCATAGAGGAAACAAAGCGAAACCAGAACAGCGAGGAACTTCATTTATTAGAAGAGTTCAAATTAATTAAAAAGTTATGCGCGACATCTTGTTGCCTTAGCCCGGGACTATGCTTTGAATTCATTTATAAAAATAGGACCAGGGGTTTTGCCCTTTGTTTCTCAAGCAAAATGAACAGTAAAAGTTGCTTTGAAACTTTCAAATGTTCACTTATCAAAAAGCTGAATCCAACTATGACAAAATGGAGATGGTGCCCAAAAAAAGGGAAATACTTGTTCGTTTCATAAGCTCAGCACGCCGAAAATTGATTCTTGCCTCCTAAAATAAATTTCATGAATTAAGATTACCCTACAGGACAAGTTGGATAATAAAGTACCACTGAAATGCAAAATGCAGTAACCATCCAGGTACACCTATTTTCTAAATTGATGTAGACTAGGCCCGATCTTTCGAAAGATATGATAGCGTCGATTGGTGGAGACTCGACGTTCACAATCTAGACTTCGAACCAAGACTGATTCGGACCCCCGCAACCGTTTGCCGTCGCCGAGGCGCTCGACGGCGGCGGGCACAAGCGCGCTGAGGTGGATCTTGAAGTGGTCACCGGCAAGCACCGAGGCGGCGGAGAGCGCCTGCAGCCCTCCCTGGGCAATGCGGAGTTGCCGTCCCTGGCGAGACCCATGCAGGTGTCCACCACGGACGTCACCTCCCCGGCACTCAGGCCGCGTCGCGCCGCGGCCTCCAGCGCCTCGTGCAGACGCTCCACGCCAGCCAGCCGCTCCTTCGTGTCCTTGGCGCGCGCGGCCTCCATCTCCGCTTTACCCGACGACGAGGGGCAATGCCGGTGGCTGGGTTGAGGACTGAGGGATCCCCCGGTGAAGGCAGTGAGTTCAGGGGAGTGGTAGGGAAAGGCGAGGTGGCGGACTGGCGGTGGGATCAGAAAGTTCAGAGAATGGAAGGGGATTGTGCAACAGTGCCAGGGTATCGACTATCGAGACAGACTTCAGAGAGTTAATTGTTATTTTTTGTGCGTTTAGGTCCCTGTAAAAATTTTGATGGAGAGAGTGAAAAAACTTGGAACTTTTTCAAGGCAGAGAATGGAAGGGGATTGTGCAACAGTGCCTACTATCTAACTTATAAGTTCTAGTTGTGCGACTTTCGAGGCTTATAATCTATGACTTGAACAGTATTTTTTTCTTAAACTAAATCAGTCAACAATACTTTCAGCCATGACTTATAAGCCAATCCAGCCAAAACGAACAGGCTGAATGTTTATTAGTGGCGGACTGGCGGGAGTAAAATCTTAAGGGGGCATCGATGAATTAGCGGACTGCTAATGATGAAAGTACAAAATTTGCCATAGCTTACTATAGCATTAAGAAATTTTAAGAAGCTAGGGGGCATGGCTTTTATATTGGAAAGCTTGTTTTCGTCAGATAGCAGGTCCAGGTAAATCCCCGCACACAAGGCTTATAAGGATTTAGGCCTTATTTAGTTCTTTCCCTAAAGTTTACTCCCTATTACTATTATATCGGATGTTTGAACATGAGTATTAAATATAAACTAAAAAATAATTAATTATACAGATTGTGATTAATTTGTGAGATAATTTTTTAAGCTTAATTAGTCCATGATTTGACAACATTGTGCTACATTAACATGTGCTAATGACGAATTAATTAGGCTTAGTAAATTCGTCTCGCGGATTACTGAGGACTTCTATAATTTTTATTATTATTATTATTATCCAAACACTTCCACGTGGCACCCCGATGTGATACCCGATATAACATATTTAAACTTTACTCCCTGTATTTAAACACCATCTTAGCTCATGAATACAGCCGAGCCAAAATTAACCATGCTCACCCCATGTGTTGCAAGGCAATCAGCCACCCTATTGCAATTTCTCGGACAATGCTGAATACCATAGTAATCAAAAGAAGCACTTATAAGTGCCATGTTCGTTTGGACTTGTTTGGCTGATAAGCCATGCCTAAAAGTATTGTTGGTTGATTTGGTGTGAGAGAAAAATACTGTTAGTTGACTTAAAAAAGTACGGCTTATAAACCAAACCAACCTAAATAAACATATCTCTAATTTGCTTGAAAAGACCCCATCCATACTGTGATCAAGATCCCCTCAAGTGAGGCCCCTTACAAGTTCTGTCACATCAGTCTCTAAGGTAGCGTTTGGTTGAGAATCAAAGTGGGGTGGGACGGTCCTGACTCTGATTCGTGGGATGGGACGGCTCCATTTTCTGTTTGGTTAACGGGAGATGGAACGAACCCGTTTTCTGTTTGGACCAGAGACAACAAAAGTGGGATTAGCTACTGACAGGTGGGACCCAATTGTTAGTTTTTTTTTAATTTTTTTCTTCTTTTCTCTTTCCTCTCCTTATCTCTTCGATCCCAACCTCGTCTCCTCCACCGGCGCCTGGCTTCCCCAGCTCGCCCCGCGCCTCCATCCAGTGAGATCGCCCCGCGCCTCCTTCCTCCGAGCTCGCCTGTGCCACGAGGCGGCTCATGAGGCGGGCGGCGGCCGCCGCCACGAGGCGCCGGCTTGGTGGGTGGCGGGCGAGCTCTCGCCATGGGCGGCCCATGAGGCAGGCGTGCTTTCGCCCAGGCTGGGTTCCTCCATCTTCGAGCTCCCGCGCGCCCGTCCTTCTTCCTCCCATCCTCTCCCGCGCGCCCGTCCTTCTTCCTCCCATCCTCTCCCACGGCGGCAGGGCCGGCCCCAGAGCTCGCGCGCCTGCCGGGGGCGGAGCTCGCCGTGGCCAAGCACGATGGCGCCAGGGGCGGAGCTCGCCGGGGCCGGGCACGATGGCGCCAGGGGCGGAACTCTGCTCCCATGGCCGCGCGCGGTGCCTGTGGATCTCTGTCTCGCCGGATCTCCACCTTCGAAGCTCGCCGGACCTCAGTCGCCCATGGACCTCCACCCTGCCAGCCTCCACCGCGCCCGACCATGGCCTTCTCTCTTCTCTTCTCCGCGTCGCTCTTCTTCCCGACGGCTTGTCCCACCTGGGGCCGACCCCGTCCGTGAAATTTTGGGGGACGGGGTCGCCCCGCATCTCACGCGAATATTCGCGTGGAGGCCATCCCGCTCCACCTCGCCTCCGAACCAAACAGGGTTGATCCCGGGACCATCCCACCTAGTCCTCCCAACTAAACACACAGTAAAATGATTCTAGCCACGAACCAGCCTGCTCTCTCCGAGTTGTACAGCGCAGCCAGTGCTTCGGCTTGTAGTGGGCTAGCCCTTCTCGTGAGATTGTCGCACCCTCCTTCCACGTATTGACCACTATTATTCCTCACAACAAAAACCCATCCGCCCCAGCTAGAAGCAGTTTTAAAAGTGTCGTCAATGTTGATCTTATATATTTTTTCTGTAGGGGTTCCCATCTTTTTCTTGTTTCAAGTGTTGTTCAGAAGTCTTTGTCTTCTCTTTTCGCCCAAATTCTGCAACATCTCTGAGAGCACACCTCTGAGGCAGTGCCCCTTCTTTCCCCAGCATTCACCTTATTTCTCGTCGACCACCATCTCTGAGGCATGGCCAGATTAGTCTTACAGTTACCTATCCTCCGCCGGTCCGCCCTATGTACCATGGAAGTTGGGAGGGATACCACAAGTCCAAAGTGTCATCCATTTTTTTAGAGAATACAGAAAACAAATATTAGGGGTAGCAAAAAGAAGAAAAATATGAATCTTGGATTTTCATAAATATCACTTGTACAAAATCAATTTTACTTATGCTTGCTATTTTTTTAATGGCGGTTCATAATATACAGGCGTCACTAGAAATGAAACTATGGGCTTGTAAATTCATTTTTACTAGTTGTTTTTTAAGTCTATTGTCAATATAAATAACATAATTTCTACTGGTGATAGCATTAAGAAATAGCCAATAAATAAATGTTTTTATACTGACACTCTTTTTAACCTAGCGCCACTACAAATCCAAACCCACAGTATATGAAGAGAGAAGTATGTACATACATGGGGTACGGTGAAGGTTCACAATGGGTGTTTTTATCATTGTACTTTTTGTTTGAAAATTTTTAAAACCAAATCCAAGGACAGAAAATTGATTAGTAAATAAAAAGGTAACTTGAGAACAGTAAATGAAAAAAAAAACATGTTTCCATATAAATGTTTGTATCTCAGTTTTCGAAGAATGCGCACCCATTATATCCTAAATAAGGAGCTTCCCAAATTATGGCCCCGTTCGCTTCGCTGAAAAAATAAGTCGAAACACTGTTCCAGCTGATTTGTTGTGAGAAAAAAATACTGTTCCAGCTAAAAAAACAAGCTAAAAAATATAGATTATAAGAGAAACGAACAGAGCCTATATATGAACTCAATTTTTTTTCTTAAATACGCAAAAGATTTATGTATCATTGTGTCAGGGTTATGATATCCCGAGTATCTCAAGACACCGATTAGTCGGCTATTCGGGCGGCCCGCGATACACAAGCTAGTACAGGCTCAAGCGACCGTGGCCCAACTAAGCTATGTAGCCCTGGGCCAACTGCTAAGACAGGAAGTTGGCCACGACCTCTCCTCCGTCCTGACCCCTGGGAGGATCGGAGAGGGGTCGAGCTCCACCGAGTACGACTGTCCTGATAGGGACAGGCACGCCTGTTTAGTCTGCCAGAACCGAAGGGACACCCGTCTCGGAGCAGGTGCCATCCCTACACCACGCCGCCAACAAGACAGGACCGTCTGGTGGTGACGACAAGTACAGTAGCCCACCGTCCAAATACGGCCCAACAGGACGGGCGTACGGTCCCACCCACTACGGGACGGGCCTCACGACTATGGCCTTGACTTTCAGGGCCAACCGAGCCAACGAAGGCCACGACCCCAGAGCTCGGGATCGTGGTCATCGGCTTCACGACCACAAAGACAACTGACGACCCAGGAGCGGCCACCTACTACTGTACGATGCCCCCGGGAGATCAAGAGCACAGGACGGCTGGCGAAACATCACCATGCTAAACAGTGCCATCACGACTGGTACTACGACACCACGCCGTCCCATGCCGCAACGTGGGCACAAGACCATGATGACAACCACGTTCGAGCGTGCACTGACACCAAGACACGATGGCCTTCCTTGCAAGCCAAGATAGTTAGTTTCCCCTCCTTCAGGCTCATGACCGCTCGGTCAGGTGAACCTAACTCTTTGTACGTGGCCTGGCCCTGGCTATATAAGGTTAGCCAGGGCACCCTTTTAAGGGGACGGACTCTCGAGACTTCATTCGGCAGTACCTCTCCACTCTCCTAGCTTTCACTCTCCTTGCATGCCTCATTGTAAGAACTTCGGAGCATTCAACCGAGGAACACGCACTCGATCTATCTTTGAGACCGGATGTAAGGCTCCGGCCTAAACCAGTATAATTTCTTGTGTCTTTGGATGTTATAATTCCTTGTGTCTTTGGACGCTAACATCGTACCTCCATCTTGCACACCATCTTTCGGAAAGACAAGGATAAACTAAAATTCTTATGTTTTCTTAAAAAAGAAACTAAAATTCTTATTAATACAAACCGCAACAGTTGGGATCTCTCGGTTCTGTTCAGAATATTCAGGTTCAGACTGTCCCATGCTTGCAACCATGTCTCCATAGGTGGATCCTTGACACTTTTTTAGTATGATTAACCTAGTGATTGAATGGAATTTGAATGGAACAGGTGGCAGCAGTGCCAATATGGCAATGTGCCATGGAGGCATGGACGCATGGCTCATAGAAGGCCAGGATCCAAGCAAGGAGCATCAAACTCACCCGCACTAACCAAAATCAAGTATCAAT